ACCAGTCTCTCCGCGTCTGGGTCTCAAAGCCTCACTCCAGCTCAGCCGATCGCTCCTGACAACCAGCATCAAAGACCTACAGCATCATCTTGCTGCAGATGGAGTCGCTCTGCATCGTTCTACCAGCGCACTTTACACAAGGAGATGCTGTATGTGAGAATGATGCAGGGGAAGCATTTTCCTACACAGCTGCTTGAGGTTTGCTAAAGCACATTTGGACAAGCCAGCTTCATTCTGTAATAAGGTGCTGTGGACTAATGAAAAAAAACTGGGTTATTTGGGCGTAACAAGAGGCATTATGCATGGAGGAAAAAGATCACATAATTTAAAGACAAACACCTGTTACCTAATGTAGCAATAAATATGAATTTACATCTACATTTATCAAATGTGGTGGGGACTTAGCTTGTCTTCGTCGTTTACAGTTTTATATTAAATAACTCGGGGCACCACCCACTTTTGTCTGTGTGAACTGGGACACTGGATTTAATATTTATTTTCTTCTCAATGTAATCAGTCTCAAAGTTAACACCACATTTTAATCCAAAGGATGAATTCTTGACAGAATGCACCAATTATTTCCGAGAATTGCTAGACAATGATCAGGCGTTATTTACGTTTTGTGAATTAATTACAAAATCAGTTAATACATTGACAAAAGGACCAAACACAGCTTATAGTTTCATGCATGGAACTAAGAAAATTGTTAACCCAAAGCTTTATGGCAGTGATAGGAAATAACTTATCTGTGATGAAAGTGGAAATTCGGTGACACCAGGATTATAGAAAAAATTAGGAATGACTTCACTAAGGAGTGTGTGTATGTGTGTGTGTGTGTGTGTGTGTGTGTGTGTGTGTGTGTGTGTGTGTGTGTGTGTGTGTGTGTGTGTGTGTGTGTGTGTGTGTGTGTGTGTGTGTGTGTGTGTGTGTGTGTGTGTGTGTGTGTGTGTGTGTGTGTGTGTGTGTGTGTGTGTGTGTAAGGATTCGTGTGCAACAGAGAAAGAAGATAAATCTTGAGAGATAACGAGAATTTGGATCGAAAATAATAAGCCATAAAAGTTTAAGTCTGAATTCACTAATCGGGCTTAGCAGGAAAAGTCAGCCAGATGAAAATGATTCACAGGCCTGCTTTCAGTCGCCAGTGATGGCCAAAGGCTGTGGTAAGCCTGAGTCCCCGTGGGGTGAGGCCTTCAGGGACTGTAGGAATTCTGGCCTCCAAGTTGTTCAACGGGCATCTGTGGATTGGAGAATTATGCGTTCCTCCACCGTGGCTTGACTTTAAGGTCCTCAACTCAGCTGCACCAAAACATGGAATTCAGAGCGCGAGTCCAGATTCACAAAGTGCCGAATCCGGAGAACTGTTCCAAATATCTTTCAACTCTTAATGCGCAAACTTGTCTTGAATGTGTCAACTTCCGGTTGCGCGTGGGACGCCAAAACAAAACAAACAGCGTTGCTTATAAGTTTTACCGTAACTTTTGAGAGCTAATTACTTTAAAGCGCTGGGTTCTGCTGGGCCAGATGGAAAACAGCCCACAGGGAAATGAGCTTAAGGCATTCTTTGTTCTTAAACTGCTGCCACAGGTTTGGAGTGGTGCTTATATAACCTTTTGGGCATGCCCACCTGTATCTTACTCAAAAACCACTGGAGGGCACTGTGGCTCTTCCAAATAAACTCTACCTTCTCCAAGATGAAAATCCATGATCGCAATAAAGCCTCAAAAAGTATTACTTTAGCATCAAAATATTACTTTAAATGGGAAAGAATAAAATTCATGTCTTAAAACGGAACAGTTTTACCATTAGCATGAATTTTAACTGGAGAAACACCAATGACACAGGTTTAACATAAAAGAAAACACAAAACAGTTTAGGTCTGTGGCTGATAAGATTTTTACTTTGAGCACCTTGATTTCTATTTTAAGGGTGAACAACATAAACGCCTTCTTTGATTATAGATAAACAGAAAAATACCAAGGGTTTTGATAAAAAAAAGAGATCTGGAATCTTCCAGAATGACCCTTGAGAAGTTTTACGAGCACCCGGCCTGGGGGAAAGAGTCAGTTATTGGCAGGTTGAGGTAAGACAGACCAAGTCCTGACAATGTCCGGCTTAACAAGTCACTTCGTAAAATGTACGTTTCTGGGAGAAAAATGTAGGAATTAACTAGAATGCCCAACTGCGGGTCAGTTTCAAATTCCCCTTTTTATTTCCTTCTGCTGAATGTGAAAGAACCCTTTGCGTGACAATGTTATTGTACTTTTCAGTGTAAATCCATACAAAGTTTAACCTGAGGATATAAAATGTGGATTTCTGCTACACTAAAGTGAAACATGGTGGGGGTTGCATCATGCCAAGGGGCTGTGTGGCCAGTGCAGGTACTGGGAATCTTGTTCAAGTTATGGGATGCGTGGATTCCCCTCAGTATCAGCAGATTCTGGAGATCAATGTCCAGGAATCAGTGACAAAGCTGAAGCTGCACTGGGGCTGGATCTTTCAACAAGACAACCCTAAACACTACTAAAAATCTACTAAGTCATTCGTGCAGAGGGACATGTACAATGATCTGAAATGGCCATCTCAGTCCTCAGACCTGAATTGTATTGAAAATCTGTGTGTGTGTGTGTGTGTGTGTGTGTGTGTGTGTGTGTGTGTGTGTGTGTGTGTGTGTGTGTATAGAGATGTCCATGCTCAGAAGCCATCAAACCCAAATGAACTTGAGGTTTGAATGGTCAAAAATACCTTCAACAAAAATCCAGACCCTCATTTGAAGCGTTTAGAGGCTGTTACTTCTGCAAAAGGAGGATATGTTAAATTATTAGTTTTTTATTTACAGAATTAGAAAAGTGTAAGCAATACATATGTTTTTTTAATATTGGTGATCAAAATGTACACTTCTGAAGGTCTTATTAAAAATGCTCAGCTGTAAAATAGTGGGGAACAGGTAAATTGAACACAGCTACAAAATTTGGTACTTGCATTCTTTGATGTTCTTATGATGCATTTTCCTGCCAACTTAACTCAATAGATGCTCAAGCTAAGTTATCATTATTATGACTTTTTTTTTAAGTTGAGCGCCCCTAATGGTCACCAGTTCATTTATGAGTTTAAGTCTTGTTATTGGTTAAATATCAATACCCAGTAATCAAAGTGGCTTTGATTGAAACAGTGTGTTGGTAAGCTAGGTACAGGTTTTATTTATGCTGCAGTACTAGTCATTAGTAGAGAACAGCATGCAGAGTTTTACATGATGCACCAAAACAGCAGTTTTACAAGCAGCTCTAAATACAGAGCACCTTCAAAGGAACCAGCAGTTAAAAGGGCCACATTTTGCAGAAACAACAGGACAGCACCATGAGCCAACCAGGGATTTATAATTCACAGAGCAGCTTCTCCCAGAAATGGTGGATAATATTAACAGAAGAGACAACACATGGACCAGGGGAGTTGTGTATGATGGGAGACAAGAAGAAGACATTGATGAGCAGTGAGTAGATCAGAGCCCTTGGGATGGAGTTAAAACCGACTGAGCCCATCCTCCATCGAACCACCACAACATGAAGCAGTGAAAAAGGAGACAGATGAAAATAAATAAATAACTCAGTTATTAAAGGACTAGAGGTAGACAAGTCTGAAAAAGCATATATGGCACTCACATGTGATGATTTTGACTCTTAGTTTGAGGATTTAAGTTTTAGTTGGATATTGAGCATTGGAATGTGTGGTGTTACAGCCGATCACCTCCCGGCAAAAACAGCTCAAGATCATCTTCGTCTGCTTTTCTCATTTTCCTGATCTGTGTATAATTTTCTTATCTTCCCCAATGCCCCGTCACTCTCTGGTCCAAAGCCCTGTCTCCGTGCTGATCGGCAACCTGTTTGGATTGAAACGGGCGTCTCGTTGCACAGCGGCCCCAAACAGGATCAGACCAGGTTCACGGTAGGTGAATGGCTGGATTTTAGCTTTACTGCATTTCACGTGTTATTAAACGGAGAGGATCAGGCAGATGGAGCGGATTGGTTTGTGTGTGTGTGTGTGTGTGTGTGTGTGTGTGTGTGTGTGTGTGTGTGTGTGTGTGTGTGTGTGTGTGATTTTACAGCTCAGACAGACACAAAGGTTTGCTGCCATCGAATACTAAGAAATCCAAATGCTTTTTGTCCTGCATATTATAATGTTACACACACACACACACACACACACACACACACACACAGCTTCCGCATTCATCCAGCTTCATAGGGTGTTATATGGTGATGGTGCCCCCAAAGCAGCTGACAGGCACAACTTTCCTCCTCCCCTATTTTGATCGAGATTGGGAAGAATGATATCACACTAGTTACTCTCACCCCTAATGCCCTACAATCAACATGGGAGGATATTTATCTTTATTTGATCGAGAGAGAGAGAGAGAGAGAGAGAGAGAGAGAGAGAGAGAGAGAGAGAGAGAGAGAGAGAGAGAGAGAGAGTGAGAGAAATCTGGTGGAAACATGAACATTTATCAATGACAACATTTGAATCCAGTAAATTTTAATTTCTTCCTCGAACAGGAGGTGATCAGTGACATGAGACAGTCTGCAGGTGGTAGGACACGCGGGGAGGAGCAACTATCCACATCCATCACGCTTTCAGCATTAATCATGAGAGCAACGTCACAATTTACATCTAAATCTCTAATTTCCAACTGATATTTCACACAGCTACATGCGCCTGTATGTTAGTGAGAGTCAAAAGTGGCAGACATAAAAAAAGAGAAGCTCCATCTCTCTCTCCCTCTCCAAAGCACGGGACGCTCTCCAACACGCAAATCCTCTCATTATTAAAACAAAATGCGTGCGCCTTTCCTTTGGTTATTTTAACTGCGTGAACTTTCACCGCAACATCTTAAATCTGTAAATCAGCGAACTAAATGTCAGCGCACTGCATCGCAGTTTCACTGATGAATTACAAAAGCTCAAAGCAAAAACCCTCACGGAGCGGATTGAGTCTGAACGCGTATTTACCGTCAGAAAGCGTCCCAATCCTCTTCAGACAATATTCCTGTGTGCGTTACGTCCCGTTTGGATAAGGTTCATTCCTCCCAAAAGCCACATATTCCCACTCCTCTGGAAAAGAAATCCTGACGCTCACACGTAGAGAAGATGCCTGGGAAATAAGACTGGCGCACTTCTCACTTCAGAGGGTAGAAACTCACGTTTGATGCGGTCCAACAATTTTCACGCGCAGAAACAAATTAAGGAAACCCCTTCAGTCCAGAAAGAGTGCACCGTTAATCCAAAATGTGTTCACTTTTATTAATAACTGTCATTATTATTAATATTTTCCTGTGACAGAAAAAAGAAACCATTGTGCTCCGGGGGGTTTGAACGCGCACCGGTCTACATCTTAATGATGTTGGAGAAAAAGAAACGAGAGGATTTTTTTCCCCCCCCAGCGTCCGTTCCTCACGATCCAGGCTGCACTTGGCTGATGGAGCACCGTCCTCTCTCTCCCACTCCAGCTTCCTCTCACCTCCCCTCCGCTTCCTCCACCAAAGTCTCAGTTGTAGGTTTTCATGGAGCAGAGACGCACCTAGCGGTCTCACCGGGAACTCCAGACACGAGCACCCCACCACCACCCGTCCCTGCTTCAGCAGGCTCTTAAAGAAACATGTGAATGAGAGATCTTCCCTTATTGGTGGAGACTTTAGTGTGATAAAATGCTGGCTAATCCATGTTATATATATATATATATATATATATATATATATATATATATATATATTATATATATATATATATATATATATATATATAATATATATATATATATATATATATATATATATATATGTGTGTGTGTGTGTGTGTGTGTGTGTGTGTGTGTGTGTAAAAAAAGGATGGGTAAGAAAACAATTGCGATAAGCAAAACCGAGCTTTGTCTTTTTTTAATGTGTTACTTTATTTCTCTAATATGTTTGAACTTAAAGAGACAATTCAGATCTTTTAAAGTGGGTTCCAGCGATGAAGTTTTTAAAGGTGCCATATGTAAGAATTCTATAGTGAGAAAATCCCAAAAGAGCCAAAGGTTTCAGTCATTTTGGATGGGAAGTTCTACTGAAACATATTTCATATCCAGCTGTGGGGATTGTCAGTTTTTCTCCTTTCAAAACAAAGGAAGGAGGGACGTAACTACTGTTTACCAGTGAGTGTGGGGGTGTCGTGTCTTCTGCAAGCTAACTGACCCTTTGCACGTGACGTCACGCCACTCATGTGACCGCCCCCTTCGCCATGATGGATGGCAAAAAGACCGTTTACACCTGTTGAAACTCCAGTGAAGCTAGTCAAAACAAGCCAGTTTGTAGCCTTTTATTGCTTTTATTTAGTTGATTTGACAATAAAATGGTTTTAGCTTGCTACGTGGTCGGCTGCACTAACAGATAAGGATGTAAACTCAACTCGTTTTGATTTTTTAATAACTTTGATGGAAACTGAGGGCGGAGGTGAACTGCAGCGAACAAACCAGCGGACTAGCAGCCCTCAGATTTGCAGCTAACATGTTTTTAATGGGAAAGATTAACGTTCATTTATTTCACGAGGAAGACAGGGACAGGGATAAATGTGATGTGTTTATACTAGTTATTGATAATCCTGATGGATGGATGGGTATTTCACCACGGAGGCTGCGCTCTGTCCACTGTAGTGTAAAGCGAGACAATTATTAACAATATTAAAGCTCCGATGTATGGTTACGTGTGTTAAAATTACGTTATTCATTTATATGAGCGTTGCCGTTCAGAGATCTTCTCATTCCGGTGTGAGAGCAGCAGCTGAACCCGGTAACACCACCAGCAAGAAGCTGGTAGGGATCCGGACGTTGTAAAAATCAGCTTTGGTGTAAAGTGAAATGCTGTTTACAAAATAAAGTTATAAATCCAGAGGGGTGAATTTAGGCAAAGTCAGCGACGTTTACATCGGTGAACAGCTGCAGAGAGAACGCAAGCTAACGTTGGTAAGCTAGTTAGCATACCGCTCTCTATGAGCCCCCGCTAGATGCGCTACTTCTTCTGATAACTGAACTGGGCATGGACTAGTTGAAGGAATGCTGGAGGAGTTTGTTTTGATCACAAAAACAATTTCAGGCTCTACTTTTCCCTTTGTTTAGTATTCGTGTCGCTCACTGTTTACATGCTTTTGCCGTCCAGCATGGTGGACCCACGTGATTAGGTGACGTTAGGTGCAAAGGGTCACCACTGCAGCACCGACAATGGTAATTTGATGACGGTCGAAAGAAAGTTCCACAGTTGTTTAAAGTGGTTGCAGCAACCAGATTTTACCATAGTGTTATTTTTACTTCATTTAAACATAATACTCCAAAAGTTACCTCTTAACAGGAAAAAAACATGCAGGATATAATTTTAGTCACTATGATTTTGTATTTTAGTCTATATATACTAAACTATAATAGAAATACCTAATGAAAATAACACATTTTAAGGTGTTACACACATTTGAATAACACTAGCAGAAAGAAAGAAAGAAAGAAAGAAAGAAAGAAAGAAAGAAAGAAAGAAAGAAAGAAAGAAAGAAAGAAAGAAAGAAAGAAAGAAAGAAAGAAAGAAAGAAAGAAAGAAAGAAAGAAAGAAAGAAAGACTCCTGTAGACCTTGAGGTCAGATCACCAGAGACTGCACAGGTATTGTGGAGGACAGACACTTTTAGGAGCGGCGTCAATCGCAACAAAAAGTAAGTTATCTTCAAGATAAATGGTTGCCCACGGCTGCGCAGAGACCGCCCCATACCCCATTTATGCTGCTGTTGCATAATGTTTTGTAAAAAGAATACAATTGCTCAACATTACTGTGTCATGATCCACCCCGGCCTCCCTGACTGTGTCTCTCCTGCCTTGATCACCCTTATTGTTCTCACCTGTCCCTCATTACTCTGCCCATGTGTTCCTGATTCCCTTGTGTATTCATACCTCCCTCCTTGTTGCTGTCTTCGTCAGATCATTGTCGTTTTGTGCATGTTCGTTTGTCCTGTCGCTCCCGTTCTACAATTAAACATATTTTTATTTTTTCATCCGTTGCCTGCTCTTCTGCCTCCTGGAACCCTCCACCACACTTGGTCCACCATCTCCACCCTCACAACATGACAGAATGATCCGACCAACCTGGACCTGTGGTGAGCTTACCATTCTGTTTCTGGAGGATTATTTTTTCTTTTTTGTCCCTTTCAGCAGAGGGAAATTTCTGGCCTGGAGTTTTGTGTATTCGGCGCATCCTACCTGTTCTCGGGGTGGTCGAGGTCCTCTGGGAGATCAGGCACATCCCATTTGTCTTCGGGGTGGTCAGGGTCATTCTCCTCCTGTTTTCGCCCCGTCCTGTTTTTCATGGAAGCTGCTGTTTCTGGAGTTTTTTATGGAGGTAAAACCCCCTGCCCACGCCAGCGTTCTTCGGAGTGGCAGGGCTGGTCTTCCGCTCCGTGGCTGCTTCCCTTCACCTGAGCCTGCCTGCGGATCCAGTCGAGTCATGGTGGGCACCTGCTCAGGACTGTTTGCCGAGTACCTGCTGCCGCTCCTGTTTCCCTCTCGTCGCTCCTGCTGTTTCTTCCTGGTCCACGCCTGCAGTGTCTATGCCTGCAGGTCCTTCACGCTGCAGTTCCTGCTGGGTCCTATGCCTGCTGCTGCAGTTCCTGCTGGGTCCCACGCCTGCTGCTGCAGTTTGTTTCGTGTTCAAGTCTTCGTGTTCAAGTCTTCGTGTTCAAGTCTTCGTGTTCAAGTCTTCGTGGTCAAGTCTTCGTGGTCAAGTCTTCGTGGTCAAGTCTTCGTGGTCAAGTCTTCGTAGTCAAGTCTTCGTAGTCAAGTCTTCGTAGTCAAGTCTTCGTAGTCAAGTCTTCGTAGTCAAGTCTTCGTAGTCAAGTCAAGTGTTCCTGGTTTCAAGTCAAGTGTTCGTGTTCCTGGTCTCAAGTCAAGTGTTCGTGTTCCAGGTCTCAAGTCAAGTCAAGTGTCTCAAGTCAAGTGTTCCTGTTCCAGGTCTCAAGTCAAGTCAAGTGTCTCAAGTCAAGTGTTCCTGTTCCGGGTCTCAAGTCAAGTGTTCGTGCATCCAAGTCCGAGTTTCCTGGTCCAAGCTCAAGAGACCCCCGTCAGTCAGAGTTGTGCTGCCTAATCGAGAGGCCCCTGCTCTGCAACCCCGGTCTGAGCTCAAGGAGCCTTTGTAAGTCGGAGTTGTGCCGCCTAACCGAGAGGCCCCTACTCTGCAGCCCCGGACTGAGTTGCGTGTTTCCAGTTTTCGAGTGTCCTGTCGAGTTCCGGTGTCCCGTGCCTGCTGCTGTTGAGGTCCAGCGTTATGCTGTTGAGTTCCGGTGTCCCGCGCCCTCTGCTGTTGAATTCCAGAGACCAAGTTCCCATGTCCCGTCTTCCAGTTTCCTGAGTCATGTGTCCCGAGGCCTGTCCCTAGTCAAGTCCAAGTGTTCCGAGTCCTGTCCCGAGTCATGTCTTCGTTCGTTCCCGAGTCTCCTGTGCTATGTGGCTTGTGGGCGTCTGGTGTCCGCCCCTTAAGGGGGGTGTACTGTCATGATCCACCCCGGCCTCCCTGACTGTGTCTCTCCTGCCTTGATTACCCTTATTGTTCTCACCTGTCCCTCATTACTCTGCCCATGTGTTCCTGATTCCCTTGTGTATTTATACCTCCCTCCTTGTTGCTGTCTTCGTCAGATCATTGTCGTTTTGTGCATGTTCATTTGTCCTGTCGCTCCCGTTCTACAATTAAACATATTTTTATTTTTTCATCCGTTGCCTGCTCTTCTGCCTCCTGGAACCCTCCACCACACTTGGTCCACCATCTCCACCCTCACAACATGACATACTGCCATAGTCTACCCAGATTAACAACCTAAAGCTCCTTGATGCCGCCACGGCGTTGTGGCATATTGGCATCATTGTTTTGTAAAAATGACTTGTGTAAAGGTATTTTAAATTATTACAACCATTGGCTCTGCTGTCAACCTCAAATTACACAATTAGTCTGGTAGAAGTATGACATTTGGATCAGAAGGGTTAGAATATCGATGTCTCTTCTGTTAATAAATGTAAAACTTTACTGTATTGGAAATCTGCAAACAGCACTTAAGCTAAAACAAGCATACATAACTAGAAAGTTTTGAGTTTAGAGGGTTTTTATCATGGATTGTTTTTTTTTCTTCTTGCAACTAGCTTCCTTGGGATTTGTTGTCAGCCCATCATTTCGGAAAATACTTCTTTTATTTCTTTCTACAGAAACTCATTTTGAACTATTATTGAATTTGACAACTACCCCATACACAAGAATTCGTCAACAATTTGTACCCATGAACTTCATGTACGCACACGTACCTGAGTGCTTTAAACATTACAAGCACTTGTGCATAAAATACATTTAAAGTAATGTTTGCTTCTATTTATTTATTTTATTGTTTTTGTAACATGTCAGAGTGTCACCCTGTGACGGATTGCATGAACTCCACATTGGGTAAGTAATTATGGTGAGTAAATGCAATGGG